CCGTTGTTGTTATGGCAGCTCTACCAAGATTGTCTTTTTTGTCCCTGGGTTCCTGCAGCGTCCTGAACCGCACCCCTCCAAGCCTCATCCAAGAGATCATTTTGGTCGATGACTTCAGCTCAGATCGTAAGTATGGACCTGTTTCCCTTGCACTTGTTTCTTCCCTTCTGTTTTCCCTCTTTTTGTTTGCTCTGTCCAGTCCCCCTCCTTCACAGAGTTTCCCTCTTGTCTGTATACAAGAGAAAAACGAAAGGGAGGAAGTTTTCCCGTGTTTAGTTTATGTCCATGCATGGCAGAGGCCAGAGCTTCTTCCTGTTTTTCTTTTTCCATTGGGTCTTCCCTTTCTGTCAGCATGGCAGTTTTGGCCAGGTTGCCAGAGATCTCTGTCTAGTTTCATTATGCACCATTTTGTGAGCTGTTTAGCACAGTTATGTATGTAGCAATGATGGTGTGTGTATATCAGCAGAGGGAGAAAGCAAGAGAGAGCAAGAGGATGCAATGGAGCCTGTCTGCTGTCCTGCAGGCAAACTGGGGTGAGGCTGTCTGCCTGCCTCTGTGTGTCTGGGATCCCAGGTGTCCCTGTGGGATGCTTTGGGCAGCTCCATACCTTCTCCTGCAGCTTGACACAGGGATGGGATGTCTTCTGCATGAGTCCCACCAGACCTGCGGACTGGAGGCTATGCTCTCTTTCCATCTGTACAGTTGCTTTTGCTCCTGGCTGTTGTGTAGTAGCAGTGAGGTGGTGGGGACAGAAGACTTCTTGCTTTGCCATGATGTGTGCTAGATTCAAGGACAATCTAGTTGTGTGCTACTTGTAATAATTGACAATGACTCCTTCAGAAGACTTTATGTATAGCTGAGAATGCCCACCTTGGCCTTCTGAGGTAAGGAAGCATTGCTGTTTTGATTTTGTGGCTAAAATCTTGTGTAGCTTTGGCCAAAAAAAATTTTTAAAGGTGTATGTTGAGATTAGGGATTTAAGTTTCTAAGGGCCTTAGAGTGTGATTTGAATAAGGACTGAGCCGTGCCCAGCTGTTGGAGTTGGGTGTTTCTGAGCACTTCCCACAAACAATCCTAAGTGTTCTGCATTCAGCACCTAAAAATTCAATTCTACATGGCCAAAGATCTGGAGATAACACTGATGGTACCTGTCCTGCACAGGGCTCAACCAGAAACTCCCATTTAGGCTCCTGGGTAAATAGAAAGATTTTTTGAAAGCTTCATCCTATGACAGCTCTCACTTTTTCACTGGCAGATGGATATTTGTGGATACAGCTACTCACCTGCATGGAGGCACTTTAGCACGTGTTTGAGATCTGACGCTTTGCTTTAATATCCACCTCAGTTTCTCCAAAGATACAGAGAGTCTGTCAGCTCTGGGGAGTGGTTAGAGTGATGTGCTCCACTCCTGGAGAGTGAATGACTTAATAAGGATGCTCATACCTGAAGTTGTGACTTGGCCAAGATGAGAGTGTTGCCTTCCCTTGTAGCAGATGTCCAGCAAAATCTTGATGCTCTGTAATTAAGAGCACCTGCCACTTCACTTGGATGATGCAGCAGCTGCCGAAGTGCCCACATGAACAGTATTTCAAATTGCAGGTACCCTTGAGAATGGAAGTGCTTGTGCAGGAGCATGCCAAGAGATGCACTTTGGCTAATGGCCTTTGTGTTCTCCCCAGAGTGCTCAGTCTGTGGGAGGATGACAGTGGGAAAGGCGGGGTGTGAGACATGAAAAGGAGCATGGAATAAACATGAGAACTGGCGTGAACTTGCTGGAGCAAGTTAGAAATTGTTACTCCTGTGACCTCTGCTAGGGCAGGAACAGAGAGGATAATAGAGAACTAAAGACCCAGTGCTCATTGGTAGAGCTACTGGCTAGAGCCAGTAGCTATTCCTCTCCATCATCTTCCTTGGGCAATGTAAATGAGGGATACCACAAGCTTCTGGCAAGCTGCCGCCAAAGCCCTTGGTTAGGCATCCATGTGTTAATGTAATAGTGTCTCCAAGAAAGCAAGTCACATGCCTGTGGCCTTTATTAAATAAAATTAAGCAGAAACTGCCCCAAGGACAAATGGTGGGAAATGCCCAGTGAGCTGCTGAAGGCAAAGCGAACAGATGAAATCACTTTATATGACAGGACTCTCTTTTACTTGGCACTTCAGTGATTTGCAGGCCTGGCTCCCTGTGGTACCCCCATTTCATCAGTGCTTGGTGCCATGTTGCCAGCGCATGCCCCATTGTTCTTGTGAAACGCTGAGCGTGGGAGGGCAAAGGCCTGGCTGCTCGCAGTATCACAAAACACAGGCTCAGCTGTCCAAGGAGGACAGCAAGCAAGCAGCGCTCTTCTGTGTACTCTTTAGACAAGAGGATTAAGGCCATCAGGCTGACTAATGTGATGTTAAGTGAAAGCAGAATTTCCCCTCCTGTGGAGAAGCAGGAGAACAGTTAATTGGAGCTCTCTGTTGAAGCCAAATAATTCATGCATGTGTGCCAAATGTTTTGTGGTTTTTTTGCCTTCCCTAAGCTGAGGACTGCCAGCTCCTTACCAAGATCCCAAAGGTCAAGTGTCTACGAAACACCCGGCGAGAAGGTGAGTGCAAAAAGCTTTGTAGGTACAAAGATTTTCCAGATTTTCCCACATGGCCCCATTTGCCTGCCAGCTGCTTACGTATTGTTTCTTATAGTTATGGTTTGTTTTTTCAGTATAAGGGTTTGGTATCCTAGTTTGGAGGCTCTGTGGAGGAGGAGCCTGCCTTATCAACTCTCAGGCTTCAGGGCTCTTATTTCATGCTTTAAATAAGAAGTGGTGTCCAGTGGCTAGAACAAGGACTGCATTTTAAGATCTTTGTGAATATAGGTGCAGATATAAGTCCTGTCCTTTTAAACTCAGAGTGCAAAATAACAAGCCATGTAGGAGATGTGAGGGAAAGGAGAAACAACCATATATGTATGACAGAGATACACAAGAAATAACTTTCCTTAATTGTATCCCCTATGTGCATTAATGGTAATGCTGACTTTCCCAGCTGCTCTTTAGTTTGACTCACGTCTGCTGGCTTATTTTGAAAGCTGTCAGTGCGCAGCAGGCCTGGAGTGAGGATCTGGAAGGGGAGGTGGGAATCACTGCTTAGTTCACGACAAGCATCCCAGGTAGTGGGATGATCTATAAGAGACATCTGAGAGCCAGATTGATATGTCTGACTGCAGAGCAGAATAAAGGACAAATGGGAATAAAGCAGATAAGCAGTAAGAAAGGCAACAAGCAGAGAGTAGAGCTCGGTCCTGTGGAAGTGGTGAGAGAGGCAGCAGGGTGCTCTAATGAGAGAGAGACAGAACAGGCAGCAGCAACGTACCTGTGTGGAGGGCTGAAAGGAAATGGGGATGTCATCACAGCAGTAGTCAGATGAAAGCTCAGTGGCATGGACAGAAGTGACAGGTGAGGTCATTCTGTGCTGGGAGGGCTCAGCTGACAGGGTCGCCCGGGGGACACCCTGCTAAAGCTGCCTCTGCTCCTGGTGGAGGTGTGATATAGGAGAACCACCTGCTCTTCCCCTGTAATGACCACACAAAGTATTTTTTCTGAAGGAAGCTCAGCTGTTTCCCTAATGTTTCTGCTCCCCTTCTGTCCTTTCCACGTTGTAGGGCTGATTCGCTCTCGGGTGCGAGGAGCTGAAGTGGCTACCGCTGACATCCTCACCTTCTTGGACAGTCACTGTGAAGTCAACAGTGAGTGGCTGCAGCCAATGCTTCAGCGAGTAAAAGAGGTGAGCGCCATGTCCCCCTCTGGGATGGCTGGAGCTGGCCTGTCTTGTGCTGGTGGATCCTCTGCCCTCACATCCCATCATCAGTACCGGTGAGGACGAAGACTGCCCAGGTACTCCACTTCTCAGGCAGGCTGTTACAGAGGAAGGTACAGCCTGAACTAGATGGGCAAGAGATCCCTGACGGGCTTCTATGTTCTTCTGCCGGTGTGGCAGGGCAGGAGGTGCTGAGTGATGGGATGCAATGGTGAATGATTAAACCACCAGCATGTACCTCATATCCCCTGAGGTGCTGTGCTTCCTAATCCTGTCCACCTATACACAGGATAGCCCCTTTGGCAGCACACACTGTGCCAGTTTTCCATGGTTGCCATCTCCCTTCTTGCTGCTAAACCCTCCCTTCTGCCTTGTCACTGCCAAAACTCTCCTTCCATTAACGTTCCCACTGAGTTGCCAACACACACCACCTGCATGCAAGTGGCTTCCTAGCACAGAGGAGCTGCCTGTGAGTTCAGGGATGTCCCTTTGCTGGTTCACTTGGCAAAGGATTGACTTGAGGCTGAAAGGGTGAAAATGAGACAGGAATATTAGCTGCTGTCACCCTGACTGCACTGTAGGGCTGGAGGAGCTCCTCTGTAAGAGGAAACTGGGGAGAGGGGAGAAGTCACAGCTATGCTTGGAAGTGGCTAGGATTGTTCACCTCCTCTGAAGGGAGGATCCCATGGACTAATGGGCCCCAGGAGAAGGGGTGGAGGCTCTAATGCTGCCTTGTATTCTTGTCTGGTTGGCTTAATATGAAGGAGCGGAAAAAGGTATAACTGCAGGATTGATGTCTTAAAGTTTTCTGCTTTTTATTCCTGCTCAATAAGTCCTCCATCTCAGAAGCCCATCAATACTTACTTTACTACTGCTCTTTAAGTCAAGCTGCAGCAGCATGGGGGTCCCTAAGCAGAAAGGACCTCACTAGTTTCTTCAGGGAAGGATGTCAGTTGCCAAAGCTTGGGTGTTGACTCCAGTATTATTTAGTGAGCAGATTTCAAGTCAGCCTATTTCTGACTTCCTACATTTCTGATGTGCATCCAAGTTCAGATGCCAGTCTTGCCCTAACCAGTCCTGGCATTGCCTGGTTGTCATCAGCAGTGTCTGGAGCACCTGGCTGGCAGGTGGGTGCTGGGGAGGCTCAAACTGGGCAGACATACTCTTGCTGTGCAGCCATTGCAGCGTGGAGGGGAATAAACATGAATGATAGCTGTCATCTAGGATGTGCCATCCTGGCCAAGCACACTACAGCAGGAGGAACTGTTAGAAGGCGCAAAATGAAGGTTTGATAGGAAAGGCATGGAGGTTGGCAGCTGTGTGATAACAAGATGCTGTTTCTGGCATTGCCAGCTCCCTCCTCCATCGTATATTTCAGCTATCACAAGGCTGTCTTTAATGTTCCATCTCACGGTGTTGAAAAATTGTTAGTCTCAACTTCTACTTACTAAAAGGATTGCAAAGGAAACTGTAAATATCTATACCCCTTAATGCCAATAAAGTACCCCCAACATTTTAATATTTTAATGTGGTTTTTTTCAGTTTGCACTATGATTTTTAAGCATGGGGTCTTGATTCATAGTAGTTGTTAGGAAGATGCTTTATTAGGGGGTTGATCATTCCTAGGCTGATAATGATGAGTTAATTCAAGGATGGCTGAGCAGAAGGTATACTGTCAGTAGATACTAAAGCAAGCACAAATCCTTTGGGACAGTGATTCATGCCCTGTAACTTAGCAGCACTCTGGATGTTGGGGTCCCAGACTCCATTCCCCACCTCCATGGCGTGCAGCTGGGTAGTACCCGCCATCTCCATGTTTGGATGTAGTGACCGTAGATCCCTTGCTCAGCTACCAGAACTGTACTGGAGAAGCCAGACAAAGATTTACATGTGTGGCTTTCTATTTTCTGATCTCTGGCAGCTTTGCCAGACCTTCAAGAAAAGCCTGACTTTTTTTTTTTTTTTCCCTTTCTCTCTCTTCTTCAGGATTATACCCGAGTGGTGAGTCCAATCATTGATGTTATCAGCCTGGATAATTTTGCCTACCTGGCAGCATCAGCAGATCTGAGGGGAGGTGGGTATAATGAATGGCTTGTGTATGTTAAGCCTGAGGGAAGGTGCATGAAAAATAATTTACGTTCTCTTCAGCTTTCCAAGAAAACAGTGGTGATCTTTCCTGATGGGTTCTCTGTCCTCTTTTTTTCCTGCAACTTGCAAAGTCAGATCTTTTGCAGAGTTAAAACAAAACTCAGCTAGAGTTTTCCTCTTGATCTAGCATCACTGTCACAACGTTTTGCAATTTCAAGGCTTAGTTAACTGATTAAAGATATCATCATGCTCTCCCTACAGTACATGTACACTGGAGTCTGATGGGCACCTGCAGTTGCTGCTCCGATCTGCCAAGCTATCTCATGGCATCTTCTGAAAAGCATTTTCATCTCTCTCTTCACAGCTGAACCCCCTGCAGTTGTTCCTGTGGTCACCTGCAGTGCCTGGAGTTCTTCCTCTTCTGTGGCTGGGGTTCGCTGCAGCACTGCTTGCCTGCCAAAGGCTACTTATTCTGTGACTCCCCCTAACAATGGTGTAATGTTAGTGACTGTGCTGTGCTCAACTATCCACCACAGGCCAACTATAAATGAATGGTGGTCTTGAAGGAGGTGATGGTTACAAGGATCTGCAAGCCTCTGTTCCCAGAATACATCACATCCCACGAAGTCCTTTGATTAAAGCCTCGTGACTTTGGCAGACAGGGAAGTGTAAGACAGACTGGCCAAAATGCAATTACATCTCACACTGACAGCACTCTCCTGAAGATGTGGAATAGAACTGGGCAGAGATCTGTAATGGTAAGGGGTAAGGATGCCAAGGCAGAAGCTGGTGACTTTACATTAGGATAGACTCTTGCCATTTTGAGTAGACTATGAAGGGAGGTCAGGGAAGGAAAGCAGGGATAGTCTGTGACGTAAGGGTGGAGACTATTGCTGAAGCAAGTAGGAAAACAATAACAAAACCTATTTGATGTGTTTTTTTCCTTCTCAGGGTTTGACTGGAGCCTTCACTTTAAGTGGGAGCAGATTCCTATAGAGCAGAAGATGTCCAGAACAGACCCAACTCAGTCTATAAGGTAGCTGTCTCTGATGGACTGTGTACAGGCCTTTACTCAGACTTCACCTGTATAGCAAGGAGTGCATAGGAACTGCCTTGCTGAGGACAAAATGCCACAGTGTTCACTTGACTCTTCATGTTATTTTCTGAATGTCTTGAGGTCTATACCCTAATTCTGAGAGTATTACTCTCTGAATATTGTAAGAGTAACAATTGTATACTCTCATAGGCTTGTAGGCATGCCACCTCTACAAGGCACCTCTTCTTCTATATGTTTGCTTTTGTGGTCTCCCTCACTCAACACTTTGAATGTCTCAGAAATCCCTTTGGGGTTTTTTAATTGCTTCCATCTTCCAGGTGAAGAATTAAGAAATGAAGCAGCTAAACAGTCACCCAGCAAGTGTAAAGCAGACCTGGGAAGTGAATCTTGCCTAGTAATTTGGGCATAGAGTTATCCTCCTCTCCTAAATATGTGTATCCATGGACAAAACAGACTCTGTTGGCTGGGACAGTTATTGCCAGCCTTGCTGCTCTATACGTGGCTCTGAGGAGTGTGGAATGTGACAAATCCTGATATAAAACATCACAGTGCTGGTCTGTATAGGCAGACAGCTCCCTGTCTGTAACATATAAGTATCATTCAATTCCTCTGTGTAATTTGTGAGCCTCTGTTTTGTACTCCAGTAGCAATCAGCTTGCTAACAGCAGAGCAGTACATGCAGCAGTGTCTCTCACACCGTGTCTAGTTGGTGAACACAGTCATCAGACAGTGCCCCTGTCATTCCTTCACACTGTGCATATTTGTATAAATGCAAAAGGCGCAGCATTACTCAGGTAGTGCTTGCAGGACCATCTAATAAACACAAGAGGATGACCTATTGAAGGGGATCTCAGAAGCCTGCTGCTCTCTACTATTTTTCTGTCTTTAAATGAGATATGATTTGTCAGGCCTGGATAAATTGTCCCCCCCTTTAAAATGAAGACAGTGGTGCTACATATACCTGTGGTTATTTTGTGTGGGCTTGTGTTTTCTTCTCCAGAACCCCTGTCATAGCAGGAGGCATCTTTGTGATCGACAAGGCCTGGTTTAACCACCTGGGAAAATATGATACTCAAATGGACATCTGGGGAGGAGAAAATTTTGGTAAGTTTAGGATGTTTCAGGGGAGTGACACACTGATGCAGAACCAGTCCCCAGTCTTCATCACCTACCAGAACTCCTTTTGAGAGATCTGATCTGCATGTCAATGTAAGGCTAGGGACGTGGTCAGGTAATCCCCATGTCAGAATTGTATCTCTGTCAGTTTTGTCCAAAGTAAATAGAGGCTTTTTGTGACCAGGGCTATCACTCTCTTACAGGCTTATGCACTATTATACGGGTGTATCCACAGTACAAGTAAGAAAGAGGAATCTCCTGATATTTAAATTGTTGCTTGTTTTTGAAGAATAGTCGTCTAGTCTTTCACATGACAGTCACCCCAGGTCTGAAGTGGACAGTCACTCTTATGCTTTCTTCTTATACCTTTTCCTCTTTCACAGATAAGTCTGAGCTGCTCTCCCAGCTTGATAGCTTAGAAGGATATTTTTCCTAATGAAACAAGCCTCTTTGTAAGTGGAATTTGGGTACAAATAGATTCAGAATGGAAACATTCAGAAGCAGACTAGGGCAACACAAACATCTGAGGAATCCAGAGGCCCACGGTCATCTGTCCACTCGAGTGCTTTTATGTTATAGGGCGTAGTGCTTAAACTCATCTCTTTGCACTTAATGGTGGCACAGATATTCCTCTCATCATGCGAAGGGATGCTGCAGTGTCACCAGTTGTTAGTGACAAAAGGAAGAACAGTATTGAAAAGAGTTTCACAGAGACCTAAAGTATTTGGGGCATTCATTTAGAAATTATGTAGATGGAGCTGAACAGATAAAAGCCTTACTCTGTTTTACAGTCAACTTAAATAGACTTTTCTGTAGCTAACACTGCCAAAAAAATTACTCTGTTCCTACACTTTCCATAAATGTCACAGATTTGTAAATAAAACCCTGTAAAGAAGAATTTATATGGTGTTTTCTAGCATCTGGAGGACCAATTAGAAAGAAAGAAATAGTCAGGAAGAGGAAGCTTTTGTTGAGCTGCCTCTTTCTGAAATGCTCTCTGAAACCAGGAAATAATATTTTTGGCTAATAACAGAGTGTCAAGGTACCACTTTTTTAAAACTAAATATCTAATAACAAGTGCTTGTGTTCTCTGTTTTCCGAGGTCTTGCTTCAGTTTTATGATATTCGTGATATTAAAAAGAGATATTAAATGAGGCTGGCACTGGGATCTCAGCAGTGCTAGTAGCTGATGCTGAGCACTGTAGGCAGAAGTAACAGACAGGCTTTACCCAAGCATGAAGATCCCCTCTCCTGTGTCCCTCAGACTTCTCTGCACAGCCGAAATCATCTTGCTGTCACTAGCCCTGCTCTGGCTGCAGAGCTGGCCATCCTGCCAGCCTCTGAGCTGCAACTGTGTAAAAGCTGTAAACCCCAAAGGTGGAGAAAGAATATTTCTTTAGGTTTTTTGGTTGTCTGGTTTTGGGAGCCCAGTGTTGTTGTTTGGTATGTCAATAGCTAGATGCTAAGCAGAGCACTCTGCTATAATTGACCGTAAGCTACCTGCACAGCCACAGCCCTTCTTGTACATAGAGCTGATCAAAACCTCCACAGAATTGCTTCATTCTCCTTCAGATTGCTTTTGTAAAGCCTGGCAGTGGCTGGGCCAGGCTGTCTGGGACTGGGTCAGGTGTATAGGGCTTGCCAGTTTTGCCTTGTGCAGTTTCCTTGTAAATTCATTGTCTCACATCAATTGTCTCTCGTCCTGCGCCTCTGCTCTTCACTTGAGGGCAAAGCTAAGTGCACAATGCTCTATTTGATGGGGCCTGTCCCTGAACTGTTTTGCCATACCACCACTGTGATGATGGCAATGTGATTCTGTGACTCTGTGATTTTAAAAACAAAACACACTACTTTTTCTTTTTTAAAGCTCACTTTTATTCATCTCTTCAGCCTAATGTAAGGCAACAAATCAACCAGTGGCTTCCACATTGAGCCTGCTGCTGTTGCATGACAGACGAGTAGAAACCAACATGTATTTGGCAACAAAAAGTATTAATTTTCCTTGAAGTATTCAGAATGGTTAATTTACCCTCTTAAGAAATTTTCCATACTTAAATGAAAATTAGATTTTGTGATCAAGCAAAAATGTTAATAATGTTCTGAAATACTGTTTTTACTACAAATTACAATTTTTAGTGGAAAGGAACTGTTTGGATAAGGTCGCTATTTGCAGGTGAGGTAGAAGAGTGGTTCTGACTAATTTGGGTGGGTGAGATGAGCGATTCCCTGCCCACAAAGGTAATTTTTAATAAACTTCTTTGAAACTTTTTCCCTGTGAGAAAACAGGGTAAGAGGACATATGGAAAGGGCACAGAGCTGGACAAGCTATATGACATAGCAGGTACACAGAAATGGTCAGGCAGCAATTACCAGCTGCCCAAATAGCCTTCCAGTTGGATATGAGCTGGTAGATGCCCTTCTCCCCCCCCGCCCCCCTGCCCTGTGATGGGGAAAAGCCACAGTGATTAAGTAATTTAAAACACATATGGACTACGTCAGGTCCTGGAAAATATACAGCAAAAAGTTCTCCTATGCTTTCCATCAGAGGATGGATGAGAGTCCTTAATAAGCTATGTTTGATCTCCATGTTCTCTTCTGTGCCCAAATTCTGCATTCTTTCACCCCTTCTTTAAAGAATTCTGTCATTGACAAACCTGGACATGCAGCCTGTCTGTGTGCCTAAGCTACCAATATGGCATGAGGAATCCTCTCTTGGGAAATGGACATCACTGTTACACATGCTAGATTGAGAGTTTTGTTTTTATTACAGGCCAGAGTGAGTCAGAACCTCATTCCAGGAGAGCAAACGCCAGCTGGACACACCACCAGACAAAAACTTAAGGCTTTTTGTTGTTGTTGTTCTTAAAGCCCTTCTCTTCGAAGCTGGAACTCCCTGTTGAAAAGCGACTGAAAATAATAAGCTCTAGGAAAGAGTCAGGGAGAGGCAAGAGCTAGTAAGAAATGCCACAAAACACAGTCTAATAAAATGGGTTTTTTTACTTAGAAGCTACATTAAATACACCGTCTTCCCCTGCAGCCCCCAAAAACCACACTGTTTAAACAACCTTTCCCAGGAGCTAGAGAGGAAAGCTATGGAGAAAGATGAAGGTTGGGAAGATGTTAATGTGTGTACATGCTTTGAAACAGCCATTAGATCTGGATACATAATTTCTTTTTAGTTTCTAAACAGCAGAGCCCCATAATTCAGACATTACTGGAGGGAGATCCAAACTGGGTAAAGTTTTTGAAGTAATCAATCTACACAATCTGAAGCCCTTTCGGTAAGGACTACCGAACTACCCAGCTAATTTTCATTTTCCTTCTTCTCATCGACACATGAAATGCAAGTGGAAAACCCCTCCAGTGTGGCAATGATTAAACTTGTGAGGACAGACCCGTAAGCTTGAGTGAGGTCACATCTCTTCTGTGATGCAAATAAGCATCTGTACATCAAAGCTCCGTGTTCTTCTAATCCTTTAACAAAATGCTGAATTCAGCTTCAGGACTAGCTGGATTTCTTCAAGTAGCAGGGTTCTTTCCATATTTTTATAGTCACACTGTTAGACTGAGTTCTACTCCCAGTAGCTCCCCCAGCTGAGGCAATTGGTGACAAACTAACCCAGTCATTCACTTTTTTCTTTTTTCTTTTTTTTTTTTTTTTTTTTTTTTTTTTTTTTTTTTTTTTGATTGACAGAGCCAAGCAGAACAAGAACAAGATATTGTAGGGTGGATAACATGGAGGTATGAGGGAGAGGACTCTCCTCTAGACATTGACTCACTTCCTATTCCCTTATCTTGTTCTCTGCTTTCTCCTTGTCTCCTAGACTACCATTCTTCCTCACATGATTTGCTTTACATCCATGTGCAGGGCTGGGGAGTTACAGAAGTCCAAACCAAGGTGGGTGTGGGGTGTCCTCAATCAGTTGCCAAATGCCATCCTGAAGGCCTGACAGCAACCACAAGGACCTGATCAAAGGGAAAGGTGTCTCACGAAAATGCTTGGGCGACCAAAGAGAGGAGCGGGACTGGAGGAGGCTAGGAAGTCTCTGAGCCACAGGGGTTGCTTCCATTTTAACAAAAGGAGGACAGTTTTTCCACTCTCACTGTGTCATCGTTTTTCCTGGTTTTGCTATTGCAGGCAATACATCTAGAGCAGAGGGGCAAGGTTTTCGGTCACAGTGCTGAAGTTGCCCTTGGAAATGCTGCCGATCTACCTGCAGCTGTGTGATTCTTGGGGTCTCTTCCAGAGCTCTCTTTCCGAGTGTGGATGTGTGGTGGCAGCTTGGAGATCGTTCCCTGCAGTCGAGTGGGACACGTGTTCAGGAAGCGTCATCCCTATGACTTCCCTGAGGGCAATGCACTGACTTACATCAAGTAGGTGTTGGGTAGTTCCTGGTAGCAACCAGGTCACCTTGATGTTGGGCATGTCTAAATAAGCTTGAATTGTTTATTGTCCTTCTGCCTGATGACAGAGCAGAACAGCTTGTGGCTGAGCATCTGTTCTCAAGGGAAGGATGAGTTCCTGTTTTCTTTGAACAAAAATTGTTCCCTTCTCTGTTGTTTGTATTAGTGCGTCATGTTCTTCCTTAGTCTGCAATGGAGGGGGGGAGCAATACTGCAGAGAGAGACTCTGGCCAGTCACTGATACTACCGTATGACATGTGCCTCTGTATCAGCAGTCGTTAGTCATCTCTGTTGACTCTGAGGTGCTTTTGAGTCCAGAGATCCTGCTGAGCTATACATGCTCAGAGACAAGCCTTAAGGACAACTTCCACTGCAGACAGGTGGGAAGAGAAAAAAGATGAGACGAAGTGCTTCACAATGTGAGCAGTTAAGCACGGGCTCGGGACCCCAGAGAGGTGGTGAAATTTCCACCCTTGGAGGTTTCAAAACTCAACCAGACAAGACCCTGAACAACATGACCTAACCTGAAGCTAGTCTACTTTGTGCAGGAGGTTGGACCAGGTGATACCTAGAGGTGCTTTCCAAGCTGAATTATTCCATGGTGTTATTCTAATCTGAGGAAAGGGATACTGTAAAGCAGGGTAATGGTGACAGTCAGTCCAGGTGTCCCTGCAGAGGGAGCGTCTGTGAAAAAATCATGGTAAACTACGGCTGTTAAGGTTTTAACTTCTGAACTGAAGCATCCTTGCAAGGCTTTGTAGGCTTAACTCGTTCAATCTGTATCTATCCATACCGCCCACTGTGTGTCATGTTTGGGACTGTCCCCCACTCCCTCCTGGCATCCAGGCTTTGGGTCTGCCCACCCAGTGCCTGCTCGCTGGGAGGGCAGGTTCTCCAGCAGCACTCAGCAAAGCACCTCCTCATCCCCATGCAGGAACACCAAGCGCACAGCAGAGGTGTGGATGGACGAATACAAGCAGTACTACTATGAGGCCCGGCCATCTGCCATTGGGAAGTCATTTGGAAGGTAAGCTGCCCCCAAACCTTGGTAGGAGGGCTCTGGTAGGCCTCTTGCTAGCAAGAAATAATTTTTGGATCTTCTCTGGGGCTAAGTGTGGGAGACAGATGTTCTGACTGGCTGGCTTGCCAGGGAGGCTGCAGCTCGAGTGTCTGACTAACAAGGTTTGCTTCTAATTTACTTTACTTTTCCCCTGGTAACCCTGCATAAATCATTTGTTAGCAAAAATCCAAAAGGATCTGTAATGAAATTAAAAGGCCAGACATTTTAAGTGGACAGATAAGAATATTTTCTAATACGGCATGCAGCTGCTCTGCAAATGTGAGCTATGTAGTTACTAGAGCTTGATCCAAAGCTCCTGTGCAGATGCAAATTCCAGGGGCAAGCATGGCTAGCTGGCACATGGGACAGGTTGCACTTGGTGCACTCCCCTCTTTCCTGATGAGTGAATGGGTGGTTTGTGTGGTTTGTAGGGCAGAAGAGAGCATGGCCAATGGTGAGACACCTCATTTAGAAACAGTCTGGTTGTGACTCGTCTCCAGCACCTGCTGAGCTCACTTGTGCAGGATTGTGCTCCTTACAGCACCTTTGCTAAAGCTGTCTCTGGGCCACGTGGGATTCGCTGTTATGGGCTTAAGCGTTCTTTGTGACCCAGAAATCAGTGACGGACACCAAAACCTGGTATGAAGGGAGAGCTTGCTGTCTGTGCTAACAAACTCCTGTGACTCCCAAATAAATGTAAAAAATCCCAGGAGTGTGTGGATCTGTGGATTGTATTTGCCTATGCACAAGTGACTATTGTATCAGCAGAAGGACTTGGCAAATGTGTTTGTATCTCAAATGTGTAGCTACATGCACTGGGTAATGATGCATCTCCTACTTACTTGATGACTAGCAGGTTTGGTCTGACCCACACACACTTTTTTTTGTTGCACATTGTGCTTTATTATTGTGATGCATTATGTATTTTTGTACAAATAGCTTTGCCTACCTGATTTATCTGTCCTTGAGCTGACTGCAGCAGCTGGGCTGGGGCCAAATAGCAAGTAACCTTGCTGCTTGTGAAGGAAACTGGACTATTGCATATTGGACATGGATATATTGCTCATGTGTTATAGGGCCAAAACCTGCAGTTCTTGTTCACACAGACTTCTAGCGGCTTTACTGGCAGCATTGGCCAAATAAGAGCTGGAGCAGAGCTGTAGGATTTGATTTCAGGCAATTTATTGAGCTGTAGTGACAGCCCTGTGAACCTGAGTTAAATCTAGATATTAGAGTGCAAATGCTTCTGACACCATCACTGTTAACTGAGCCTCAAATGGACCCTCCTTCCCCACCATTTTGATGTGAATATAGGATCTAAGTACATTCTCCTGAGGTATGGGCAGTACAATGGCCTTTGTGGGCTGATGATGGCCAGGAGCATGGGTGCAGCTGGAAGTCATTCCCAACACACAAATGTAGTGTTATAGCTTAAGAGGAGAGTCTCTGGTGTCACTGCTCAGTAGGACTGCTGGAGGGAAGTCCTCTTTTTCAGCCAGCAAAAGCCAAGCAAATCAGCAGTGGGAGGAATGCTGCAGCAGACAGTTTCTGAGATACTGAGTGAGTTTCCCCTTATACTCCTCCCTTTTCCCAAAACTGCTTAAGAGCAAATAATTACATTCTTTAGGTCTGAAACCCAGCCTGAGCCTAGAGCTGCTGCTGTGAGCTAGGGATGTGCTCTAGCACACACAAATTAACCATTTTCATATACCTGAGCACAAACTTTCTAGGCCTTTTCAGGAGCTGATCGTTGTGCAGGTTTCATGGTATGCCTCTACAGGGGCACACAGAGGCAGAAACACTTTCCTGGTCCTACAGTAGTTTTACTGCAATGTATTAAACACTGTAGGACCTGGGCCCTGCCATTGTTCTGAGCCAAAGGAAGTGCAAGAGTTGCTCTCTGAAGGTGTTTATGTCTTCCTTTTCTATTTCCTGCCACTTGCCTCTCTCCTTTTCACCTCAGGTCACTGCTAGTACTCTGAACCCAGCAACAACTACGTGGGAGAATGAGTAATGGGAAAAAGTCGTATAACCTCCCTCAAACCTCCTGGCCAATCTTCATTGTTCCCCTCCCTCCTGTTCACTACCTTATCCTCAACAACCTGCCTGTGTTTCCAGTGTTGCAGAGCGAGTGGAGCAGCGACGCAAACTGAACTGTAAATCCTTCCAGTGGTATCTGGAGAACGTCTACCCCGAGCTCAAGTGAGTCAGTTCTCTGCTTGTAGAAATTTCTGAAGGATCTGGGAGGTGGGTCACAATGAGAAGCTGAGCCTTGGTGGCAGCAGGCAAAAGAGAGACTTATGCTTGGAAAAGGTTTTCGTCTGTTGTTCTTTTTGGTGAGAAATCTCCTATGATTTCCTGGCTTGTATTATCACAACAGCTCTGCAAAAGGTTTGTTGCTCCTGCCCCTGGGAGCCCTCTGCTCTGCCTCACACAGCTGTCCCTCAGAGATGTGCAACACTGGTGTTTTCGATGATGCGGGGTGTAGACAAGTCCCAGAGCACTACATCACTCCTTGTTATGCCTTGGTCTTTGCCTGTTGGATGCTCTGCCTGGAGGCAGTTGAGCCAGGTAGAGCTGGACAGCCTCAGTGCAGAGGTGTGGGTGGTTCAGAGAAAGCCCTGGTGAATGCCACAAGCATCTGTGCCTGTGGCTTCCCTTGCCCTGGGTCAGGGTGCCACAGTGTTGTCATTGCTCTGCTGGGAGGTAGTCTTGGTAGAGCTGTGTTGTTAGCACTTGCTAGCTAACACATGCTGGCGACACATCTTTACAGCTCAGTCAAGCAAAGTCTGTAGCTAACATGGGTCAAGGCTAAAACATCCAGCTGTAGTCTGGCCTTGACAGATCTTTCCTGTATTGCTGCCAGTGAGACAGCGAATATGTGCTAGCATGTGGGGGAAGACTCTGGAAAAGGGGGAGGCAGAATCAGGGTAAATCAGTGTGGATATGGCTTTTTACTGGCAATGACCTCTTTCAGAAGAGATGTTACACTGAACTGCTTGGGGTATACGTAAAGATCCTGTTATGCCTTCTGAAACAAAAGGGTACAAGCCCTCTGACAAAGTTCTCCCTTGACTTTTGCCTCCTCCAGACATTTCCAGCGGATAGGATGATATTGTTTATTTTCTGTCAAATAAAGGGGACTGTGTTTCGGTCAGCAGCCAGTTATGCCCTTATAAATGTGAAAGTTCTTTGGACATTTCTATGTATGAAGTGCCATGCAACTGTCATTTTACTTCAAGGATTCCTGAAAAGGAGTTGATTCCAGGAATAATTAAACAAGGAGGAAACTGCCTGGAGTCTTGGGCACAGGATACTACAGGGAATACATTGGCTGGCATGGGAAACTGTAAAGGGACAGTGAACAATCCACCTGTCACTCAGGTAAGGAAGGCTTTAGTTTGGTGCTTTGCTCCTGCTTCTGCCCTTTTTATTACCTGAGAGTGAAAAGGCATGTGTGGCCTTGGTGGGTTTGTACAGAAGTGAATGAAGGAAGAATTTGGCCCTGTTAATGATTTTGATAGGAAGCAGAAAAAAAAGCTGTGCCCATCTCTCAGAGCTCTGTTGGCTCAGCAGACCCAGCAGTCAGGCATAGAGTGAGAAGGTTTTCATCACTCAAAGGCAACAGGTAGGACATGAATGCTCAGGGGTGTGATTAGTCGGTGTAGTAGGTGTGCGACCAGGGTTTGAGTTGTGTAGCTGTTCCCACTCAGGCTGTTGCTTGGGTATACTCTGCTTTATCGTCCAACCGATGAGAACCAGTCCTGGGGTGTGCTTGGCTAGTACCCTGGCATGTGGGCAAGAGATTTTCCCAGGATCAGAAACATTCCTTATTCTACCAGTTCAGCTGTAGCTGCAGATGGCTTGAGTCGTGCTGTTTTAGAGAAGCATTTCAGTATAAAGCCCAAATAAAGTTCAAATAGCCAAGACCCCAGCTGCAGTAATTTGCTGCGGCTCTCCTAACTGCAGTGGAGCTGTGCTAGTTTATACCAGCTGAAGATCTGCGCTCAGCCTCTTATTTTGGTGACTGAAAGCAGCAGGGAAGCAGCTTGAGAAAGTTAAGGGTCACAGTAGGATATTTAATGCCAGCAAATACATATTCACATCTGTTAACTGTTAGAAACTAGTTTGCAGCCAGCATTCAATGTTGTATTTAATCTGACTCGTTTTTCCATGTCATTACCATTTGAAATCTCTGAAACTTACTGCATTTTGTATTTCTTCCTTAGGGTAACTATAATAATAGTTGATTGGGTCAGGTATCCATCTAGTGAGAGATGCAAAAAATGAAGTGGTTTGTGCTTTATATGTGCTGGTGATATATATTAGCCCACAGATATGCTTGTGTGTGTTTTGCTTTGCTTGACAATCTATAGGTCCCAGATACCTGTTACAGAACGTGTCTGCTATGTAAAATATGCAGAAGCAGTTGCATGTCATGTAAACTGGGGCTTGAGGTCCTCCCTGCTTTGTAGGCCTGAACCTGTAAAGCTGCAGAGCAGGGAATTGCATGGGATCCAAGGTTAATCAGACAGCTCAGATGGTCAGGGGAGCCAGCTGCAGGCTTTGAAATAGTCATGATGCACCAAGCCTGAGCATAAACTTCTGATCAGGTGAAGACTGCTGCCACAGTCTTCCCAGGGAGCCTTTGGTAAGAGGCGAACAAAGGATATGGATTTTTGAAATACCTGGTAGAAAAAACTCTTTCTCTCTTATCTGATCACCATCATGATCCTAATGGAACCTTTCTTTTTCTTATGCCAAAGGAGTGGGTATTCAGTGACCCTTTAATTAGACAGCAGGACAAGTGTCTTTCCATTACCTCCTTCTCTACTGGCTCTCAAGTCACACTGGAAGCCTGCAATCAAAAAGATGGCAGACAGGTAGGTAACTGTGCACCAGTTTTTAATCCCTTTGTTGCCACATACCAGTGTTCCTACGTCAGTGCAGCCTGCAGGGGCAAACCTAGCACTCTCAAAGCATATAAAAGTCCCTGCCATCTTCTGCATCTCCCTCTCTGGTGCGTTTCATAAGCTCGAATGTATGAGATTGCCCGCAACCAAAGTGGGGAGCATAGACCACACTAGTGTGTGGGTGCCTGCTCTGCCTGTGCCCTCAGCAGCAGGGTTATCTTCAGCTCAGTAGCACCCTGGCCTTGCTCCTTGGATACGTTTATGTTCAGCCAGATTGGTGCATCAGAGGGGGGTAGGTAAGCAGCAAATACTTTGAGATATCCGAGGGAAGGGTGGTGTATGGTGTCATTTGTTTGCTTATTTAGAAGTGAGAGAACTGTGTTCTTTGTGTTGTCTTTGGACACATGAGCAGACCTTTAAAACTGAGTGTGTGCAATTCATTTGAGAAATACCCACTGACATAAAGCACCGTATGTTCCACCCATACTGCTCCCCGAGGAAAAATACACAGCAGCAGTGTTCCCAACAAAGTGCAACTCTGTGGCTCTTATGCTGTTTCCAAGATGTGCATCCCTGATCTGTCAGGACACATATGGCATTTTGCCTTACAGCACTAGGTAAGAGATGGCCTCTGCGATGGCCAGGGTGCCCTCGCAGAGATGTGATGTGTCTTTTTATCAGAACTGGGCAAAACAAAACAGTGACAACGCAGCACTGGCAGACAGCAGACTGGGCTTGTTTCATCCCTAGTTACTGTGCAAGAGAGAACAAATTTTCTGTTGTCTAAGGCTATGCTGACTTTGTGTTTGCTGACACGTCTATTGTTTTGATAGCCCAAAGGTAGGAGATAGCTCCTCTTTTGTCAGTACTTTTTAATGCTATACAAATCTCTGAATTTAGTTCTTCCTGAAAGAAAGCACTGAAATCCAGTCTTGCCCATTTATGAAAGCCTATGTAGACTTTTCTCTGGAGGGCTGGTTAATGCAGAAATATCTTGAAGAGTTGTCACCATGAATATGCTGGGAAAACTCTGAGTTGGGATTAGCCTTGCAAGGGTGTCCCAGGTGGGCTGTGCTTGCTTGCTGCTTTTTCTTGTTGGTAATCACTCACCCCCTTGCTGTGTAATTAGGTCACTTAGCTTCCCCTTAGGTGCCTTGCAGCATTTTCCTCCCTGGAAGCAAAGACTTTAGCAGCTGCCACAATCGGCTGCCTTTCCCCACCTCTCTTGTCATGGAAGGACAAGGGTCTGCTGAAGAGAGGTGGAGTCCAAGCCGTGTTACCCAGAAGAGAGATTAATCCACGCTAACATAAGCAGGCTCGTTCTGCTGCTGGAATAGAATTTAGTGAGCTTTGATGTGTTGATTATGTGCGGGCTCGTTATAAAGGCATGCACACGCACCTAAGGATGTGAGCTATTGTTTTCCATGACCTTATGTGAACAAACTGCACTTAAATCAAGGACCTAGCAGATGACTTAGACAACTGAATGTAAGGAAGGGTTTTGTTTAAGCATTTCAAATAGAGACAGCTGCCATTCCAAACCACCTTGTGGCTGAAGGGATGAGGTGGGAGAAGTGCATTTGAATTTTTAATCTAATTTGGGTTGAAATGCTCTGAAATGTTGGGGTTTTTTTGGAAGTCCCAGAGTCCAATTTAAGATTTCTACTTATAAAGCCAGTTCTACTTGTAATGCTTGTTTGTTGTGTTCTTGGGGAATGTTATTATGGTCCCTTCCTTCCATAAACGTAACAGTAATTGTTGTTAATACTGACATAGGATTTCAATTAGCTAGAAGTCATTCATCTTTGCAAACTATTCCATTTTCTGATATGTGGGAGGCAGAGTTTCAAGGAGACCCCCACTGCTGTAGAAATGTTAAAGCTGAAACAAAAGAGCAAAGCTGGAGGGAACAGATTCCCTCAGTCGATCTACAATCTTGACCGTCTCCCCATGGGTACTCACAGCCCAAAGTGTGAGTGCTGCAGGGAGAGCAGTATTTTCAAGCTACGTGTGGGTGTAGCCACTCCTCAATTCAAGTGGGCTTCTCCGAAGGTCAGAGGATCTGAATGGGAGTGGAGGAAGGGGAATTGAGCTACTTGAGAGAGGTGGAGGTGACAAGCTAGAGCCCCAGGTAGGTGATCTGAGTGGAAGGGGGTGAGCCTGGGCAACGTGCATCACACATACAATATCCTAAGAGGAGATGGCAGCATGATGAAAGCTCAGCTTTGAACATCTCGTGTCGTTGTCATCAGAGTTCTGTGGTGGAAGATGTTTGAACATGCCTGGATCTAGGTTTCATGTCTATGTCCGAGTGATGCAAAAGCAAGTTTTCTGACAAAAGATGGGGCACTTGATGGCTTCATTTTTAGTGTCACCAGGGTGGATTAGTTAGATCCTTTTATGACAGCACCATGCATCTCCTAAAATTGCTTTCTGCTTTCAAACATACTGAATCTGTGCCCATGCTACACAGCTGTTGTGCATTAAGCATGTCCACAGGGCAGATAATTTGGTTGTTTTTTTTGAGTGCTGTCAACAGTCCGTCTAACATATATGTAATACTCTAGCGGAGGCTTTGGAGTACTATGAGCTGTGTCTTGACTATTACCTCAAAACAGCAAATAGGAGGATACAAGACAATAGTTAAAATGTAGATGTTTTTTGGTTCTGTCAGAGTATTCTCCCTTGGGTTGAAAGGAACCAGGAACAAAATCAATTTGGCACCATGGTCCTGTTGATCACTCAAGAGCAACAGCTGGCACTGCTAGCAGAAGACCAGCCAAGAGCTATTCTGCATAATCAGAATGAGATTTCAAACCAGATGGACGTTATCCATAATGTTATTTGGAGAACAGCATTCTTCAGTTGAATGAACAATAAATTATTGCCTTTAGCTTTGATTTTGGCTCTGACTGATGGTGGGAGTGGCATTTTAATTTATATTATAGTGAGGACAAATAGAAGGCAAAGTGAGAGTCAGACACTAAAACAAGAGAATTAAAATGAGAAACATTGGCACAGTATTTCCCAACAGAACAAGAAGCATGCTGAGAAATCCTATTAAAGAGCCATATTTCATTAAAACACTCTGAAGGAATGTGACCCCAGCTTGAGAATGAGGACACCAACTTTTCTTGTGAGACAAACAGTATTTGAAGTCCTGTGTGCTTTGGATGTGATTGGGAAATTTTTCCCACCTTGCTTCTCGGTGTATCATTACCTGAAGTGCAAACAAATGCAACCTTATATAGACTATCAGAAAAGAGGAGGAGTGAAAACCTGTCTGTTCTGGAAGCACCTGACTCAGCGTCTTCATGATAATAAGTAGGTAAAACTATACTGGCAGTATGCCATAGCTTGAAAGCAATTTTCAGGAGACAAGAGTTTCTCTCAGTTGCGATTCATAATTTTTTCAAATTTAAGTGCTCAGAGGGAGACAGTACTTGCTGGATGCTGGTGTGAGCTTTTCCATCACAGCGGTCTGCTCGTATTTAAAATTTAGTGTTCATCATCTTCAACACCAGCTTCAGGCCACCCATGGCTTTGCAAATACATTCAACTACAACTTGCTGCATCCTTGGCTATTCCACTTATCAGCTCTCCATACATTTCTGTCTGAAGCATTTCAGTCCTAATCAACAAAATCTGCTCTTCTCAGCTGTGCTTTCTGAGCTTGGCCAACTCCACTATGTTTTCAGGGTTACAAGGCTGTTGTCAGGATCTTGAGAGCAACCCTGGTCTGATTACCCTGAAAAATTACACTAGTATAAACACCTTCAGCTCTTTATATATTGGGTAGAAGAGGACTGGCTGTTTCTGACTTTTCTCTTAGTAATTGCAGGTGGAGTGCTTCTGTCCAGCCACCTCAAAGTACTTTGCAATGGTAGATAGTAAAGATGAAGAGAGAGCTTTACAAAAAAGGAGGGAAATTTTTGGTTGACATTGTGGAAGAGGATCAAGAAACAGTATTTCAAAGAAAATACGGATTCCTTTTTATTCCATCTCCACTCCAAACCTGCTGTGACCAATAAACTGTATTATCTCCATCTGCACCCAAGGATCTCCATCAGGAGACAGAGGCATTGGGAGGAGAGGACTCCTTGTAATGTTTGGCTGTGTATGCAGGAGGTGTCTGCTCTGTTTGTTTTTCCTAAAGATGGGCATCATCTTTAAAAGTTAGTTGTCCAGGCTCTTCTTGTGGTCTGTGAAGAAAGCTGGGCCCTCCCAGAAGGTGCTTGTACCTTGGACCCCTCCATAAGTGTGTCACTAGGTGACTAGTTTAGACTAAGTTGCCCAGCTCTGAGGTGGCTGATGGTGGGAGATGAGCATCCTATCTCCTATTTCCACCCATTCCCACTACCCACCTTCCTCAAGGGTCTGAGATATGATATGTGCCTGCAGAGCTAGGTGTTGGGCTGTCTTTGGTAATCCTGTGGTCTGGCATTCAGGCAGGGGAGCCTTGTGAAAGGTTCAGGTGAAGTCAAGGGAGTTGTGCTGATGTCTCACAGAGGGCAGCAAAGCACAGTTTCTGACCAGAAATGGCAGAATCCATCATTCTGAAAATACCACTTCATGTGAGGTGAGGAGCCCTACTTTGGCTGTTACTGTCTATATGCTTTACAATAGCTCCGTACATGGCACCTCCCTGCAGCCTGGATGAGCCTTATATTCAACTCTCTGTCACCTTCTCAGTATTCCTCTTCCCCCTTCCTCATCCTTGCCTCACTTTCTTTTGAACATAGGGATCTGAGGTGGCTCAATACACTAGGCTTTCCAGTGACGCAGTTCACTGAGAAGCTGATTGATTTAGTGTAGTTCATTAGCAGCAGCAGATGTGCTCTGGTGAGTGTTTGCTGGTGTCCTGCTGTGTCTGTTGCTGTAGGCCCTCCCTACAGACATCACAGTTGGTACCTGCTCAGCATGGAGTGATGACACAGCAGCAGGTCTCTGGTGTGGAGGAATAACATGAGCAAGCCTCCCAGTAGTGCTAGTTTTCTCCTGGACAGCTAGAGGGGAGAAAAAAAACAGTGTCTCTTGGTAATTGCCCTTGTCCTCCCTCTCAAATCTCATAAAAGCATACTCATTTACAGCAGGGTCTTCTGGAGAGCTATGGGGTGTGCAGGAGGGAGGGCTGGCAGGCGTTCTCTAGCCCGTGCACAGGGGAAGGCAGAGGAGGATGCTGGGAATTCACAAGTATGGAGAGTCAGGGGGAGGGTGGAGGGCAAGGAAGAGTTCCTTTCCCTTTGCATGCTAAGTGTGCTTTGGAGAAGGTCAAGAGGCCCTTCACTGAGGTGTCTGCGACCCTGGGAAACAGTGGTGGGGTGGCCGTTGTGCAGAGATCTCACCAGCTAGGTACAGTGTGCTGCTTTCCAGGGGAGAAGACCTGCTTTCCACTCCATCATTACAGCTGCTGCTTTATGGTATTAACTGTTTCTCAGCTCTTTGTAGAAAGACTTCTGCCAGATGGCTCTGAGACCTGTGTAGGCAGTGGGATGCAGCAGCTGGTGAGGACATTGTGGTGCACAGACTGCGTTGTATCTTCCTCTCCATCATCACTACACTCCTCTGCCCCCTTGCCTGTTAAAACCAGCTTCTTCCTGCTGCACAAACAGCTCTCCGTTAGTGGTATCCTGTCAGACGAGGCTGTCAGTGCTGGCAAAGTGATCCTGCCTCTGGTATTTAGTCTTGAAGGACTGTGTGATACAGGAGCAACAAATTACTCTGGGCTTTCCAACTGCCTTGTCCTCCAAGAAACATAACCAGCACACAGATATGGAGGAGAGCTGCTAGCAATATGTGAAGATAACTGGATGTCATAAACCACACAGCATGTGGCAATGTTTGCTGTGTTACCCAAGAATTAAAGTGTTGGTGGGTTTTGACATTGTCCGGGTAATGCAGGAATTTTTTTATTCCCTTTGCATATCGTTTCTGCAACAGCCTTGAGGTCCATCAGTGTTGGCAAGCCATTCAAGGTTAGGACATGTGTTTTGTTTCCTGGAAAGCAGTCAACCAAAGTGGACCTTTGGGGAAACGTTGCATGTGGGACCTTGTGGACATGCTCTGAGGAGAGCAGACCCAGGACAGCACTGCAGAAAGCAGAACAGTATGTACCGAGAAGCTGTCAAATGGACACTTGTAAACTGAAAGGTTGGCAGGGCAGGTAAGATTACAAAGAAGAGCCAGCTGAGAAGGGTGCAGAGCTGTGAAGAGCTTTTAGTGTAGTGCTGATAATCTTGAATTTGGTGAAAGAACTGATGAGGGGACATGGAAGAGACATAGATATGATCTAGTCAAGCAGCAAGTGTTATTTTTGCTTTCTGTGGATGGATTGCTTTCCATGTTGGGAGACCTTTCAATGCATTGCTTTCTATGGATTGGAAAGAAACCATAGAAGGGTTTCAGGTTTTGACAGGTATCTAGAGTGCCTAGAGTTCCAGGACAAAGAATGACAGGGAAATTGTGAATATAATATGCTTTTGAAAATGCCACTACTTGCTGATTTTTGTGTTGTTTGCCTTCTAGATGCTTCTGAATATCTAGTCCTATAATTCAGCTAAACTCAAACTCCAGGTATCGTTAATACAGGAAACCAGTGCTTTGGAGGTGCTGCCCATACCTAGATTTTCAGTCTCCCCATTTGTTGGTGTTCAGGTTTATGCTCAACCTTTCTCCTTCAACTTGGAGGCACAATTGCATGGTGAAATGGAAGTAACAGCATGTTTCTTCTCTGCCTTCTCACAGAAGTGGAAGATGAAAGGCAGTTTCATTCAACACTTTATCAGTGGTCTCTGCCTGGAAAACCAGACTGGAAGAGTGGTGACCAACCCTTGCCAAGCAGGTGTACCTGGCCAACAGTGGGAGCTGCTACAAGCAACATGATGGTAGCACAGAGATCTCCATGTTTCTTTGTGCATGAGACTTTGGGAACAGAGGGGAATTGGGAAAGGAGGAATGGTTTTGTATGTCTGACCCTAAATGTTTTCATTGTGCCCATCAGCAAGCCACCATTTCAGCTGAGCACTTGGTGTTTTTGAGCTTTTGAGAGAAGAAGCTGGGGGTGAGAGAGGGATGAGGGGAGTTGTTAGAGTCTTCCCATCTGTTGTAAGTTCTGCTTTGTAGCTGATGTCCATGCACGGCTGCACCCAGAGAGGGAGGAGGACCCAGCCCAATACTCGGAGTGACCAGAACTGCCTTGTGGCTCTCCCCATCCATTCCTTTCTCTGCATCCAGAGTCCACGACCTTCAGTCCAACAGCTTAGATGATGCTTGTACAAACATTGGTAGCTCTTTGGCTTCCCCAGCTTTTCGCTCTAACATTGTGCATCATTGATGCATGTGTGTCTCTCAGTGAGGCCTGGCCAGAAGAAGAGTCACCATGATGAGTGGAGGGGCAGGGAAGGAACCAGTAGACCCTGGGGGCAGGTTGTAATCTCTTTGTCATGGGCACATTGATTCCTCTGCCCGCAGCAGCTGCTCTACAGCCAAATGAGCTGAGGTTGGCACAATTCTGACCAGAGAGCTGGAAAAGGGACTATCTGTTTTAGCAGCATAAACAAGGATTGTTTGAGGGACTACTCCCTGTTGAATTCTTGCTTGCGGATTTTTATGGGTGGAAGGCCAGCCCTGCCTCCATGAGTGATCCAAGCCTGCAGGCAGCGCAGCTGGACCTGGGTTCAGGGCACCAGACTCCTGCAGAGCTGGTCAGAGGTGGGTACTGACACTTTGGGATGCCAGGGGAGCTGGGACCATTCTCTGGCTGCTCTTCTTGGTGCTAGCAGACACTGCCTGCTGCACTGCACACCGGAAGCGATGCACAGAGCTGTGCGGGCAGCACAGGCTGACAGTGCCACCGCACTTGGCTCAGGCCTGTGCCAGGAGCCCACTCAATTCCCCGCTGCAAGAGGCAGAAGGGGACAGCCCCTAGGTCATCGGCAGGCTCCCTGCTGCTGGCTGGGCAGGAGCACAGCCCTCTTGCTGGCTCTCTGGCTCTGTCTGGCCCTTGTGAACACAGCTCAGTGTGAAAAGCCACCCAGTCCCTCTGTCTAGTTGCTTTTTCCCCTCTCTACCAGAAAGAGGAGGTGGAAAGGCCTGGGGCTGCTCCACTTGCGACGCCCAGCTCTCCTCCTGCTGGGCATCTTGGGGTGGTTAGCTGGTGAAGCTGAAACTGCCTCCTCCACAAATGCTGCCACAGTACAGGCCTGCCCTGGGTGATATCTCCTTTGTGTTGTGGAAATACCAGTGACAACTGGTGTCTCTAGCTAGCATCCCAGTCCTGCTCCTGGTTACCAGTCAGCTGTAGCCGAGTGTATGTTTTCAGACCTGCCAAGGGAAGCTTATCTATTCAAATTAAAAAAAAAAAAAAAAATCTCCACAACCTTAACTTTTCCTACTAGATCTGTTAAATTTTCCTCTTGGAGCTATGTTTTGTAAACCTACTCTTCTCTCCAAGAGCCTGGCAGGGGAACCAGATGGTGGGGCCACCTTCAGTAGGCAATTGCTTTCCTGGATCCTTTCTGATCTGGTGCAGGAGAAACAGGATGTTAATTTGGATTCTGAACAGCTGTCTGCTTTTGATCATGTTTGTATCCCTTTTTAATTCTTTCTCCTAGATTGGTATTAGCCCAAACAGTTGATAAAAGAACAGATACTGTTATTTGTACATTGCATGTGCTCAGAAATGCTTGTGTGAGAACTGGACAATTTGTTTTCTGTTCTTGGTTCTTTTATTTAAAAAATTAAATCAATCATGTGGCAGGAGCCCTTTTCCTGTTTCCCCCTTCACTTTGTCATCAGCTAACCATCTCGACACTGATTAACCAGATGAATGACCTGCCCACACTGTGAAAACTCAGGAGGCAGTTCCTTTTGGTGCCAAGCTTACAGCATGGTGCAGCTGCTCTTCTGTGTGAGAATGGAGGCACTAACTCTGCTGAGATTTCTCTTTGCCTACATAGAGATGCTTTGGGTCTGAACCACTTGAGGCCAGGAAAGAGCAGAGAAGGAAATTAAATAGCCTAGGAATGGAAAGAGGGCAGGGCAGACAGACCCATCAGGGGGAGAGATGCCATCCTACTAGCAATTGCTTTTTTAAACAAGAATATGCAGAAGATGCTACTTCCCAATCAGCATCATTAGGCAGTAGGAGATAGGAACAATCGAGTTCTCACAAACCTGGCTTGAAAAAAGTTGATGGAAAGAAAGATAAAAGGCCATTGAGCAGGTACTGTACGTAAGTTCTATGTACAATGAAGTGCTAAAGGATTACATATTTTCATCAAAATGCATCCTAAGTGGACCGTCTGAGCTTCCCCCATTTCACTCTCCAGCAGCTTAAGGGTTGCAGCTAACAGCATATTCACTCCTCCTTGCTCCCACTCTGTGTGTGCAGCTTTCTTGCAGTTCCTTCTTCATAACTGTACTGGGACTAGGACCCAGCTCCTCTACAAACGGTTCTCCTGACTGCTGCAGACCACAGAAGCTCAGCTTATATACAGTTTCCTGGTTCAAAGGGCTCTTGTCAGCACGCTAGCTATTGCCCTTGACTTTGTGCTTGGCTCCAGTGTTGGAGGTTACTGACTGCTCCCGGAGCAGAGGTACGTGGACTAGCTGCGTTGACTTGTGCCTCTCTTCCTACTGCTCACCACCTGGCAGAGTGAAGTGGCATCCATTTGGGGCTGCGTGCTGGGGCAGCTGAAGACTGGACCCTCTCCTTCTTCAGGTGCCCCGGCCTGGGGGAGAAAAGGGAAAAGGTAGGCATATGCTAGATGTCAATACCTTAAATTACCCCTGGAGTTAGGGTCTACTAGAGCCCTAACTCTACCTGGTTTTGGACATGTTCTCCTGAGGTTGCCTTCCCACTGCTTACTCCACTGTCAGCTAAAGCACTGCTCACAGGACCTTCCTGCAGGCCCGATGCAGACCTCCCCCCACATCATCTTCTGGAAGCCATTGGTTTCCAATGGATTTTAGCAGTTGCTGAAAAGGAAGTGCATTACAAAAGGCTGCTTTCAAGTGTGGGCAAACTAAACTTTTCCTCAGAATAAACAAAGTCTTGTCCAAACTCATTATTAGCACACTTTCCATTTCCCTTGTGCTGAAGGGAAGGAGGAATGATGTTATCTGTGCTTTTTTCCCCCAAGATCCACGCAGTGCCATGTTTTGGAACAGAACGCCGGTGGGGTTTTTGAAAGCAAACTGACTGAGCCCCCAAATTTGGCCCAGTGATTTGTTTCTTGAACAGTCAGAACAAGCAGCTGCTTGCCCTTGCTTTCCTCTTTATTTTAAACAGCTGTCTAGACTGTCAAGACAGAGCATTTGCATTGGTAATACCTTTTAAGAAATCTGTTATTGTTTCAGATCATCCAGTGTAATTTCGTGTGCTGTGGACCAGTGGAGGTTTATTTAAAAGAGGAGCTGAAACTACTGTTGTGCAGAAATCAATTTCAAAAGGTTTATTTTCCCCACTCACTTATAAGTTGCACTTTGTCGGATGTAATTTACGTGGAGCCCAGATTTGTTTTCCCTTTTCTTGAAGAAAGCATGTGCCAGAATCTCTTTAATGCCTGGAATAAAATCCACTTTGAAACAAGTGTTTGAGCCTGTTCTTATTCCCCCTTACTTCCCATTGGAAAAGAGCCTCCATCCTTTCCTGTCTGGTCCCTGCCTTTGTCTCTCACTGGCTTTGTCCCACAAGACATACACGCCCCAGTTCTTTGCATGGGTTCCTGGGTTGCTTCCAGAGGCATACTGTAGGAGCTGGCAAAGGGATTTCTAGGATACAATGGCGTAGCCATTGAAAACGGCTGAAGCAGCCCTCCTCAGCTGGCTAGGGAGGGCAGGACCCTTTTCTGGCAAAAGTTAAGAGTAGTTAATGGACTGGCTTTTACTTGCTGAAAGAAAGAGCTGGGAGTGGAGGGAATTAATTCTTCCTGTAACTCCCTTCTTGATCTTTTCCTCAGGCTATGAGCCTGCCTGTTCCTTACTAAACCTCCCAAAGGTGGGTCTTCTGCCTCTAGCTTGAGGGCAGGGAAGCATCACCACCCACAGATGCCTTCTAGCATGTATGTTGCTGAGCCTCAAATACTGTGATTGCCCAAGCTGATAAATTTTCCTAATCTCACTTTATTTAAAAAAAAAAAAAAAAAAAAAAAAAAAAAGCCCAGCCACCGATGTCAATTTGGAGGCTTTGAGTTTAAAATCGGGGCTTAACTGCCTGCTAGTTCACCTGCAGAGGCTTTTTCAAACCAGGATCAGCTGGGTCTGCCCTGCAGAAAGTAGCTGTGCCAGAGCCTCCATCTAGGGAAGGAGGGTGAAGGTGTGCTGGAAGTTAGCTGGTGGGGGTGAAACCATTGCTTCCCCATGCTGCCTGGTAATGTATCTGGTGTTTGGGTGCTGTGGGAACTTGATAAAAAGGAAAAGAGTTGGGATTTTCTCTCCAAGTGGTGCTTCTGTAGCAGGACATCAGTTGGGCTGTGTCCCTGGAGTCCTGCCATGTGCACCCTGAGTGATGACCTCCAAAGTGCCCTAGAAACCAGGAGATTCTCAGGCTGTGATGATGGCTGGAAAGACTTTTATTAGTCCTGTCTGGGAAAATGAAATATTGATCTGAAGAGCG